AAGTGTATTGAGTGATAAAGCATAGAATATTCTGCCACAGCACGGAGCCTTCTCTAGAATTGAAATAATACATTGATGTTTCTCGAATTTGCATTCCAATCTTGGTAGCTCTTGTACCTACGGTCTGGATGTTGTGATAAGTCGATTCTGGAGTTGCTTCATTTCCTCTCTTTCGATCACAGTGATCGAAGGGGCTCATGGATCAGAATAAAGTTATGAAGGACGGTAATTGCTTCACAACATTAATTGTTGCAGATCCGGGCTGCTCTTCAATTTACTGTAAAAGTAGTCTCCACATATGTGCAGCTTTTCCAAACGCACATTCGACAGAATTTCTGGCGCGAGACAACCTGTAGTTGAACACTTCCTTTTCCAATGTGAACTGGCGTTGAGCAAAATGCTTCAGGATAATTTCCCTCACTGGGAAGGCATCGTTTGCCACAAATGCTAATAGAAGTTAAATGTTTGTTTCAGGAATGACAGTTTCTTGAACGCAGGCTTAGACTAACAAATCTACCAGGAGCCTAGATCGACGTCCGGTGAGATGAGAAATGGGCGCAAATCAAAAACCACTAAATCAGGACAAGACGGGTTTATTGACGACCATCTTCTGAACATTTTTATCATCGTTCTGAATGTTGCTCTCCCAGGAATTATCCGTTTCTTTGGCATTATCTGAAACATCATCAATGTAATTGTTTTCCTCCAGCAGTGCTTTAAAAACACAGTGAACATTATTCTATTTGGGCAGGCAATCTCCGATATCAGAGCCCTCTTGTTCACGTTCTGGCACAGTGTCTGTGTCAACACTAGACCATGCTTAATGGTGCAGGTCTGCCTTTCAACACCCTAATAGACGTTGGTTACCTTACAGCGGGATGGTCAAGTCTGTGTTTTAACCGCATCAGTAGCTGGGTCACCGCCTTCGTTACGTTTGAGAGGTGTCTATGTATTTCTCTGCCTCTCAAAGTGAAGAAACTCATTACAAAGAAAAGAACAAATTTCGTCATTGTTGGAATTTACCTCCCAGTAACTGCCAGCGTTGCACATGTTTTATGTAGTTCGTTTTGGACCGAAGTATTTTCCATACAGAAACGTGACGAAGATAGGATTGCTTTACACTTCAAATGGAAAATTTATTAGAAGCATTTCAATAATCCCCTGCTGGAGAGGGGCCCCATAGTTTTACTATGGGGGAGCAAAGAATACACCTGCCGAGATACTGCGTGTCGTAAGAGGCGACTTAAAGTGCATAGGTCTGGTCGCCCGAAAAGTGCCAATCCAGTAGGCTACATTGTAAAAAACGAATTTGCATTCCAATCTTGGTAGCTCTTGTACCTACGGTCTGGATGTTGTGATAAGTCGATTCTGGAGTTGCTTCATTTCCTCTCTTTCGATCACAGTGATCGAAGGGGCTCATGGATCAGAATAAAGTTATGAAGGACGGTAATTGCTTCACAACATTAATTGTTGCAGATCCGGGCTGCTCTTCAATTTACTGTAAAAGTAGTCTCCACATATGTGCAGCTTTTCCAAACGCACATTCGACAGAATTTCTGGCGCGAGACAACCTGTAGTTGAACACTTCCTTTTCCAATGTGAACTGGCGTTGAGCAAAATGCTTCAGGATAATTTCCCTCACTGGGAAGGCATCGTTTGCCACAAATGCTAATAGAAGTTAAATGTTTGTTTCAGGAATGACAGTTTCTTGAACGCAGGCTTAGACTAACAAATCTACCAGGAGCCTAGATCGACGTCCGGTGAGATGAGAAATGGGCGCAAATCAAAAACCACTAAATCAGGACAAGACGGGTTTATTGACGACCATCTTCTGAACATTTTTATCATCGTTCTGAATGTTGCTCTCCCAGGAATTATCCGTTTCTTTGGCATTATCTGAAACATCATCAATGTAATTGTTTTCCTCCAGCAGTGCTTTAAAAACACAGTGAACATTATTCTATTTGGGCAGGCAATCTCCGATATCAGAGCCCTCTTGTTCACGTTCTGGCACAGTGTCTGTGTCAACACTAGACCATGCTTAATGGTGCAGGTCTGCCTTTCAACACCCTAATAGACGTTGGTTACCTTACAGCGGGATGGTCAAGTCTGTGTTTTAACCGCATCAGTAGCTGGGTCACCGCCTTCGTTACGTTTGAGAGGTGTCTATGTATTTCTCTGCCTCTCAAAGTGAAGAAACTCATTACAAAGAAAAGAACAAATTTCGTCATTGTTGGAATTT